TAAGATAAGATAAGATAAGATAAGATAAGATAAGATAAGATAAGATAAGATAAGATAAAGTAAGGTAAGATAAGATAAGATAAGATAAGATAACCTTTATTAGTCCCACATGTCAGAAATTTGTTGTGTCACAGCAGAAAGTGGACAGTGCAAAGTTACAGTACCAAAAAATAAGAAAAACCCTGGAATAGGATAAGATAATAAGAATATGATACTATATACAACAGAATAAAATACTGCAAAGTCTTTGTTGTGGAGTCTGACAGCAGTGGGAAGGAGAGAGGGGTGCCGCAGCCTGCCACTGAAGGAGCTGTTCAGTGCTGTTAGAGTCTCCTGCATGGGGTGGGAGATGTTGTCCAACAGGGATGACAGCTTAGCCACCATTCTCCTGTCACTCACCACCTCCACTGGGTCTAGAGGGCATCCTAGAACAGAGCTGGCCCTCCGGTTCAGCCTGGTCAGTGGCATACTTAAAATACTATCTACTGCAGATAAGTTCAAAGAGTCGTGTCTTGAAGAAACAAGACGTTACTGAAGAAGTGTGGAATCATCTTGCCAGAGAATGGAACAAAAAGCAGCCACCATCCAAAGAACAGTTTTGGATGTCCTTCAGGAATCCTGGAGAGCTATTCCTGAAGACTACTTAAATAAATTACAATGAAACTACCTAACAGACTGCGCTGAAGAATAAAAATGTTCATTCCAAATATTGACTTTCAAGGTTGATAGAAATTATACAGCTTCTGTTTTTGCATTATACTGAATTTGGGTTCCCAAATTTAGTACATCACACTATTTATATCAGTATACCTCCCATGTGGCCACATGAGGATTAACAGTCTTTACATATAACACGTGATGTGTAATTCGAGTTTTGCAAATGTGCTGAGAATATTCCATCTATTCAGAGAAAATGCCAAGTTGCTAATAAAACGTTTTATGGAGTTTGTTCATAATTTGGTGGACACAGATTCTCCCAGTATGTGGACTGAACATCTGTGTAACACATTATTCTGGGAGCATCCGCTTATGTAAATGTAGTAATAGTATATTCCTCCTAGAGGTGCCACAGATTTTTGGTACCCCGGGTCAAACAGTGCCTGGTCCCTTTGATAAGGGAAGGACCTCTCGGCAAATACTTGAATGAGTCTAGAATAAATTTACAATATTTGTTTTAAAAACACAACTCAAATATGCCAATTTGTAAGCATAATTGACATATAAGAGATATTCACCATAACATGGGGCCAGATTCTGCTTTCTCTACACGCACACCTACTGCTCTCCTAAAAAACTGGTTATTCCCATTTCTGAAGCAGGGAAGGTTATTTGGACAGAGGCTGTCATGGCATGACTAATGATAGATGATTGCAGTTTAATTATACTCTAGGGGTATCACTTATCTGTGGCTGTCTGGAAATAAATGAAGCTTTTCAATATGCCACACAGTGTGTGGAATTAAGGCACTATATCTTTGTCATTTTTTTCGAAATAAAACACAGTGAAAGGACTTCACTAGCACTATAAATTCATCCCTTTGTTATCTCTCTTTAGCCTACACTCATGTCTATTGTTTTAGTAGCAGATTATATGCGTTAATCTGGGGAGGGTCTCTTTAATCTTTGATGCAATCCTAAATTAAGTTGTCCAGTGAGGTCGAACAAGCACACACACACACACACACAAAAAACATCCCACAGAAAATGAATGCAAGTGGAAATCTGATTACTCAGGACTTAGATAGTGGCATCCCCCACCTCCGTATAGGCTAGAGGGAGATGCCCTGTGGTGTTGGTCCATATGGCATGACAGTTGGCACATGTATGTTTTTTGAGGTCTTGACCGGACTCTGTGTAATTTTATGGGCCACCACTCACAGTGTAATTTGTTTAGAATAATGTGTGGCAAGCTGAGTGCTCAAAAAGCAGTTATTCTTTCTACCTTCAGACTCCCAGAGCCCAGACTTTCTCCATATCTGAGAGGTGACATTTATGTCGGCAGTTCAGTGTTCAGATTAGAGTATATTTGGATTTTGTGCTTCGGGGCAGATTTACAAGCGAGTGATGTGATGTGCTGTGCACGGTTGGCTGGCGAAAGCTCAGATGCTGCCGAGGTACACTGAGTGTCTCGCTGCGGTCACACTGCAACTGGAAAAATCTTCTCTTTTTTTTTATCCCCCCTTTCCTTCTTTCCGCTTTTAATTCATCCTTTATGGGTGCAGAGGAGTCAAGTTATCATCGTGCAGCGCTCAGAGCGAAAAATGAGATTGGGAGGGGGGGGAGAGAGGGAGGCAGGGAGTGGGAGGTGGGGGGGGGTTAGAGTGTTTGTGTGACACAGAGAGAGAGAGAGAAACAGACGGAGAAAGAGGAAGAGAGGAGGCTGTGTGTTCGTTTTACCTCCTAATCAGTTTTCCTGGAGGATCTATCATCGGCTGCACGATAGCAGGCAAGTAGAAAGCGAAATAAGACGACCTTCTACCATCTCAAATTTGAGCCTCATACAAGTAAGGAATTTTTTTTTACATTATTCTTCACATTACATTATTCTGAGTCCCAGAAAATGAATCAATTTATTAAATGAGTCTATTTACAAATTGTTGACATCAAATGATCTTATCCTCGGTGTGAGTGTGTGTGTGTGTGTGTGTGTTTTCTCCAAATATATTTGACATGAAGTCAGATGGATGCAGCAGATGATGGAGTTTTATTTACAGATTGTTATTCTCTTGGTGTCAACATGCATTTTCCCCCTTGCCAACTTTGGGTATTTATTAAATCCCACCAATGACATTTTGCGTGCGACTGCGAGGACATTTCACATGGCAGCCCTGACTGATTCGTGTAAAGAGATTGGGCGTCATTCTGGTAAATGTCAGTGCCAACTGTGCATCGCTTCAAACTACTTTAACGAAGAGATAATATTTCCATTTTCATACCCGGCGACTGCCTTTTCAGCATCCCAGTTTAAGAACTAAAGCGAGAAGATTGCGCCGTTTTCCTCCCCTCTCGCCTAGCTATGTAAATGTCTTTTAAAGTATTCTCCTCAAAGAAGAAGAAGAAGAAACGTGGCTTTGAACCAGAGAGCTGCTTTCTATGCCCTGCTCCATATGCATGATTACAGCACAACATCTGTGTGTGTGTTATGTACTTCAGCCAGAGATGTGAACTGTAGCCTAATTATGCACTTCTAGATGAATTATGAGTTATGATGTGTACTCATAATAATTATTAGTTAGACCAAATTGCCTTATGTGGAGCAGCTGTCTGTTAAAGCTGGTAATGTGGTGGAGATAATTGGCTCACACTGGTGGTTTTTTTTCTAAGTGAGAGAAATGTAATTGTGTGAATGGTATAACAACCTGAATTTGAACTGTGTTCACATCTCTGCCATCCAAAAGTGGAGCATATGCAGACGCACGGGGAGCTTTGATGACTTGTCCTGAGAGAATCTTCTGTTGCCCCAGTTTCTATCTCTGAAAAAAAATGGCACACTATGGCAAGAAAAGAGAACAGCAGCTGGAAAACAGACGCGTGGAACTGCACGTGCACGGTGCGGCTCCCTGCCCCGGTTGCCCGTGTGAACGAGCCATCGCACAAATTTCACAGTTCACAGGTTTTAATGAGCTACCGCAGCCTGTCCATCACACTGACGGGTGGGGCGCACCTTAGCAGGCCCGGCAATCAGACAATGACTCTAAACCAGGCAATTTGTAGGATCACAGGGACCACAACGGGGGGAGTTATTTTTGAACACATATTTGCCACGTGCTCACTGTGCTAATAATAATAATAATAGAAATATGCAAAATGCTGCTTTTGGTGGTTAAAAAAACTGCAAGAGATCAGTAAATATACTGTAGCTGTGGCGGAGACTATTGCAGTAACACTAGACTGATGAAAACTGCAAGCAAGCTGGGATAAACAGGAGCACTGTGGACACACTGAAGAGAGTTACCATCATTTAAGAGGAGGGTAGGTGACAGTTAATGGGACAAACACAGGCTGGCCAACAGATTGCTCCCAGCCTGACGCTCAAGGCTATGTGCAGCAGCCTAGATCGAACTGCTGATGGGCAGCTCAGGAAATATGATCATACATCACCTGCTACAGATGCTTAAACCTCCCTGCTTTCCTTGAGCTGAAAGGAGTCGCGTCGCTTGCAGTTTCGAAAAGGAGCAGATATCAGCAAGGAGACAGAAATGTTTAGAAAGTTTTCCCTTTTACGTTTGAATGCCTGCTGACGGGTGCGGAAAGGTTTTTGTTTGTGACCCCTTCCTTGCGAATTACAGGAGAAGATTGAGGGAGGCAGTGAGACGTGTGGTTGCTGAGAGACTGCTGTAGGTGGATTATGAAATGCAGGAGGGGGGGAACAGGGGCCAGTCACTCAGCTGGGAGAGTATCGAGTTGTGCAATGATGGGAAATGTCAGTTAAGGGTGGTGGTGGTGGTGG